CTGGGGAGGGCTAGCCTCCCACTAGTTCGAATTAAGGGGCTACACAGCCCTTAATTCGAACTACTTAATTCGAACTAGGCGTTAGTCCTCGTAGAATGAGGTTTACCTAGTTCGAATTAAGCGCTCCGCTCGTTCGAATTAAGTTCAAACTAGCAGTTTGCCTGTGTAGCGCCTATCAAAGTGAATTCGAACTAACGGCTGTTAGTTCGAATTAACTTTGTAGTGTAGACATGCCCTGAGTCTGTAATGCTGAAATGCTGGCTGTTCCCTCTGGGTGGCGCTGTTGCCTGAGTCCCGTCCTTCACCTCATGCGGTGGCTCTCGGCTGACTTCTGCACCCCTCAGCCGGGCCGCCGTGGGGGAGCAAGCGGCGTAAGCGGCTATTTGGGCTCCACGGTCCCCCGAAGGAGAGGCAGGAGGGGGAGGAGAGAGAGAGAGAGAGAGAGGCAGGAGGTGGAGGAAAGCGGAGAGAGAGAAGGGAAAGGCAGTTGATAGCAGTGTAGAAATTGTTGAAATCCCTGTGAAATTCTTCCAGGGTCCCTTTCCTATGGATCCATATGATGAAGATGTCATCAATGTAGCATAAGCATAAGAGTGCTAGGAGGCAAGAGCTGAGGAAACGTTGTTCTAGGTCAGCCATAAAAATGTAGGCATATTGTGAGGCCATGTGGGTGCCCATAGTTGTGCCACTGACTTGAAGATATAAATTGCCTCCAGATTGGAAATAGTTGTGGGTGAAGACAAAGACACATAGCTCAGCCACCAAGTGTGCTGTGGCATCATCGGGGATACAGTTCCTGACATCTTGTAATCCATTCTCGTGTGGAATGTTGGTATTCTACATCCATGGTGGTCAGGATGGTGTTTTCAGGAAGATCACTGATGCTCTGTAGCTACCTCAGGAAGTCAATGGTGTCTTAAAGATAGCCAAGGGTGTTGCATGGGGAGTGCAGGGCCCAAAGAGCCGCTTGTGCTGCTTGTTCCCATGCGGTGGCCTGGTTGAGCGGCGCATAAGTCAGCTGAGCATCACGATGGGAGGTGAAGGGGGGCAGGGTGGTGACTTGCAGTGCGACAGAAGCTCCAGGCCCTGCCCCCTGACCGTGAACAGACCCTGGCCGGGGGGAGGGGAGGAGAACGAGGGGAGGGGGAGGACAACTGGGAGGCTGCAGGATCAGTGCTGGGATGAAGGGAAACGGTGCAGGGGGGCAGCTGGAGCTCATAGGCAGCTGCTCAGCCAGGCTGCCATGCAGGAGCAAGTGGTGCAAACAGCCGTTTGGGCTCCGTGCTCCCCACGCAGGAGGAGGAGGAGAAGAGAAAGAGGGTGAGAGGCAGGAGGGGGAGAAGAGAAAGAGAGACGGAGAGACGTAGTTTGCTTCAACAAATTGGCATGTACTGATGGGAAAATGCCTGGTCAGCGATACGCAGGCGGCAGGAATCAGCATTCACGTTGCAGGCCCCATCAGCACCTGTCACAGGCTGGGGAAGCTAATAACCCAACCAGGAGCTCAAATTCGGTGATGAATCCTGCTCTCAGGCCACTGAGGCAGGTGGTGCGCACACTAGGAAGAAGCCCTGGGCAGCGCTGCGGTAACCGTATCAATTACAGACAAAGCCAGACAAAGCCGGGGTCTCTCTCACCAACAAGCGGGGGTCGATGCAAAGATATGACCTCACGCACTTCAATCAGGCTATGTCTAGACTGCAAGGTTCTTTCAGAAGAAGCTGTTTTTGGAAGAGATCTTCCGAAAAAACTTCTTCCAGAAGAGAGCCTCCACACTGCCAAAGGGCATCAAAAAAGTGATCTGCTTTTTCGAAAGATAGCGTCCACCCTGAACGGATGCTCTCTCGCATGGGCGGAATGGCCGCCAGGGCACCTATGCTTTCCCCCTCTCCTCTTCTCCCTCTTTCCCATCCACACATGCCTTTTTCCAAAAGAGCTCTTTCAGAAGGCTTCTTCCTCGTAGAAAGAGGAATACCAACGCTGGAAAACCCCCTCTGTTCTTTTGATTTACTTTCCGAAGAACACGATTTGCAGGGTGGACGTAACTCAGGTTTTGTCGGAAAAATGTCTGTTTTTCTGACACAACTCTGTAGTGTAGCCATACCCTCAGTGACAGCGCATTGCTTCTTAACCCAGCATCTCCTGCACTCCATCCTTAGGGAACACGTCTGGGGCCGTTGTGCTAGGCAGCCCGAGGCTTCCATCCTGTGCCACTCAGGGGAGCCACCTTGCAACTTTACCCATTTGCAAGTCCTGTCTCCGGCCTCAGAAGTGTCCTGAGATTGGTTTGCAAATGCTGCGATCAAGCAGACAGGCTCTTTGACGGAGCTTCCTGGTTTCTGAGCTGGTAGGGTCGCACTGAGGCTCAGCTGTCCAACCTTTCCTCTGCACTCGCCAGAGCTAGAGGCTGTCCTTTGATGTTTTGTTTTGTTTTTGCAAATACACACTGAGCGCCTGCTGTGATCACCTGACGCCAGGGGCTGGGGTTTTCAGGAAAGCAGCAAAGATCACAATGAAATTATTGGGACAAGGTACCAGCAGCAGCACAGTAGGCAGGGAACAGGCAGCATCAGACAGTCCTTGGGCTAGAACGGGGGCGGGGGACTGTTTTTGGGTTGGGGGCA